TGAGCGGACTGCATTAGTGCCGTGTGTTAGTTATCGTCAGTTGCTATGCAATCCATTTCATGATCTTCCTCTCTCTGCTCTGATAACAGGGGTGCCAAATCCACAAAGTACATGTCCCAGGTTCCTTTACCTACTTGGCTCACAATTTTTGTGTTCCACTCTCTTCATTAAATTAGTAAAAGAACACAATTGTTTTTTTTTTTTTTTTACTAATCATGATGAAATAAAATGAATAAGGATGACCAGGAAGAAATGCAGAGTGGAAATTTTCTCCTATTAAACTTTGTGCTTGTAATTATGCCTGTAAAAAACAAATAAGAAAACTAGAAATTAAATACTATTGTTCAAAAAAAGCAAGGTTTTTTTAAACTATATTGATATATTTTTGAAAAAGGAATGGTTCCTTTACCTACTTGGCTCACAATTTTTGTGTTCCACTCTCTTCATTAAATTAGTAAAAGAACACAATTGTTTTTTTTTTTTTTTTACTAATCATGATGAAATAAAATGAATAAGGATGACCAGGAAGAAATGCAGAGTGGAAATTTTCTCCTATTAAACTTTGTGCTTGTAATTATGCCTGTAAAAAACAAATAAGAAAACTAGAAATTAAATACTATTGTTCAAAAAAAGCAAGGTTTTTTTAAACTATATTGATATATTTTTGAAAAAGGAAAATACAGCTACATAGTGGTCTCTTGTAATAAAATGTTCCATTGTCTGTGAATAATAAAGTCACCTTTTCTGTTTTTTTAAGCCATAAGCATTGCAGTGCCCTCACTGAAATTTGTCTTCTTCACATACTGATATTCAATAGGCAGTGTAGCCAAATGTGTCCAGTGTTCTTTGCACATAGTCGGTTGAAGAATATTTTTTAAGCTTTTAATTTCAAGTTTCTTTTACATGAGCAACAGATGTACAAGTAGTTAAGAAAAGACTTGAATATAATGGTAAGTTGGGCAGCGATTCATAAAAATCTCCTTTTCCAATAAACTCCAGAAATTTAGTATACTGTCTTTGTTTCTTTAGGAGCAGTTACAGCGAGTTTCAAGTGTCTCTGTAGTTGAAAATTTTCCACAATTATCTGTATCAGAAAATTCATCACATATTTTTATTACATACGGTAAAAACTTCTGAAATTTTTCTTCATCTGCTCAAATCAGAGAAAAGGACCAAATGATAACAAACTTTGACATTATCTAATCTATTCTTTAGAACAAGTACCCAAATATTGGTGAGAAAGGTTGAGGGACTCAAACAGTACTCTGCTGATGTCTTCTAGCAATGGGAGACCAGCTTCTTTTGTTGGCATTCCTTGAGATTTTGATTATGTGCTCTAAATAAATGACTTTTCCCTTAGATTTTTTTATTGCCTAGTTAATTGCCTTCTCCACAATTTCTGGGTACTGCCCCTTTGATTAGAGTCTGATATATTTCTTTTGTATATAATTTGTCCAATCACTAAAAAACTACTTAGATAACTTAAATTATACCACTGGTGTAGGATTATATTTTCTTAACCATTTTGTAATTTTAATAATGAACAATTTTAAAGAGAAGAAATTTTAATTTGAAAAATACTATTCAAAGAGATACTTCATGTATGAACTAAAATTTGCACTTACTGAACACAATATCACATCTCACGATTTGCCCTGTTTCATAATAAACATAATAAACATGTAATCTTCAAGTAATCATGAAGAATGACAGAACTGAAAGAACTCAGCTTCTGCTTCTTTATTTTTACCATCACTCTGCTGTGTTATTTCTAATCCACTGTTAAAATGTTAGATAACTAGCCGAGTCTGTGTTAGGGCCTATGGTATTACTAGTTCTTTCAATTAATTTTCATGTTTATTAAGGTAATAAACAATGTTTATTAAGTGATAAAAGTGTGCTAAGTTGAAGTAGATAGATTATCAAAACATCAGTAATTACAACAACTAAAGACTCAGACTAAAAAAGTGTTCGGTGGGGAGGAGGATTTGCACAGTGGAATAAGCAGAACCAATAGTGAATGGTGTCACTGAGCCTACCTCCAGACTTCCTGCTACATGACTTAATAAATAATTGCCTAAACTGCTGTTAATGGGGTATTTTCTTACTTGCACCTGGAAGCTTCCTAACTGACACCATTTATAACTACCTTATTAGGAAGCTGCTCGTGGACACTGAGATTTCATGTTCCCTGTCTCTAACTCCTTACCTCCTGCTCATTTTCCAGTGCTGTCCGGCTTGTGTCTTCACCAGTCCCCTGAAATAGTTCATGCCAGTGACACCAACAATGCAGTTGCTTACCTGAGGGGCACTTGCCAGCCTTTAATCTTACCTGATATCTCTACCTTCTGAACTTTTGCACTCCTCTCTTCCTCAAAATGTTCTCTCCCCTTGGCTTTCATGATACCTGTTTGTAACTAATTAATATCTGTTTTTGTTTTCATTGTTTTTTTTAATCAAATGTTTGATTTCTCTAGTCTGTGAACTCCACAAAGTCAGGCACCATGTCCGCTCACTGCCTTTCCAGTGCCTGGCCTATAGTGAGTACTCATCAAACATGGGTAGATTAATGAACACTTTAGTAAGGAGAGCAATTACTGATGGAACTTTAAATACAGGAAAGGCTTTAGTAGATGATCCTGCAGGCTGTGCTTGGTTCGTAGCAGAACTGGGAAAAGCAAGGCTTCTGGCTTTCAGTTCAATAGTCTTTTTCCCACCCCACTGCCTCTATGTTTCATGGCATCCTAATTCTTCCCAAAACCTGTACCTGGAGAAAATATAAGTAATGCATTACCCTATTATAATTCATAATGTAGCTTCTTAAACTACTGAACTTTTCTGGAGATTCATTAATGTTAGGGAGAGAAGCAAAGGCAGGATAATAATTTGTATATGAAGATTCATCAGAAGAAGGGAATAATTAACTTGAATTTTGATTCTCGGCTTTATTGAGATTTTGGCTAAACGATGTTATAAGTATAGCTGAAACTTTCTTCCTTTTATAGCTGCTGTGTTTCCTAATAATGCCAGCCTTTCCTTTTGTTCGATTCAGATATGCACAAAATCCTTTCAGTAAAATTCCAGAATTGAATCTGTTGCTATTTAGTGTTCCACACAGCATACTTAAAAAAAAAATTTTTCCCCTCTAATCTTTCCCATCACTAGAAAAGTAGAAAGACATAGATTAGTTAGAATGTGAACATTAGCAACGTCACACCCATAAAGGTTTGGATAATGTGCTGTCTGCAAAGTGCTTTTGCCGTTCCAAGCAGCTTCCCTAGCTCAAGGCAAGAAAGCACCTGTCACTCACCACCACATTCCTGAGGGCACTTTTCTCTCAGCTGCAGACACAGACTTCTGCACACCACTAGAGTGCTTTGAAGCACACTGGTTTTTGCTCTTCACAGCTGACTCTAATCCTGGGCCCATTCCTTTGAGGCTTCTCTCAGCCTATGATTCACTTTCCACAGCTAGTGGTTTTAGGGAGGTTCTTTTTAAGTCTTCATCTAAGAAGTGGGTGATAGGCCATCAGGAGCTGAGAGCTTCAGGAACTAGTTTCTCACTCTGTCAAGAGGACTCACGACCCCCAAGGCTTCAAGGATTCACTTTCTGAGCTTCTTTTCAACTTCAGCTTTTAGTGCTAATCAGTTTAGCACTAAACTCTGATGGTTCATAGTTCACATTCCCACAGGAGGAAATATGGCTAAGTCAGCTCATCTTCCTGTGGCCAGGTTGGGCTGCAGGTTGTTGGTCAGCTTACGGATTGGCTGATGCCAAACCTGGTACTTGCACCATTGTCGGCAGGGGAAGTGCTGTGGTGACTAATAGTTCCCCATACGACACAAAGGAAGGACTAAGAACACCTTCGTAAGGAAATCAGGAAGTAGACTTCTTTCATATTGTGGGAGTGGTTTCTTTAAACATTTAATATTCATCTACATGTTCTTTTTGTTGATCTGTTTTAGCCCTATATTAACTGCATGACATGAATGCAGCATTGTACTTTCATTATTGCTTCTTGTTATTATAGTATCAACAAAATCTGAAAGAGTCTATTTTGAAGAGGAGGAATCCAGAGATGGAAAATAAGTGTCTTAAGATTATAGGGCTACAAAAAGGCAAAGAATGAGAAACGGGATCTCCCAATTCCCAAAAGCCTTTAACCAGCACCTAATAGCAGAACTGAGATGCAGGGTCTGGATAATTTTTTTTAGATATAACTGACAATACAACATATTTCAGGTATACAACATAATGATTTGATAAATTTGTATACACTGTGAAATGATCACCACAATAAGTCTAGTTACCATCTATCACTGTACAAAGTTACAATTTTTTTTGGTTGCAATGAGAACTTTAAAGATTTACTCTTAGCAACTTTTAAATATGCAATATAGTATTATTAACTATAGTCACCATGCTGTACATTGTGTCCCCAAGACTTATTTTATAACTAGAAGTTTGTGCCTCTTGACCCCCAATGCTTCGTCCCTTGGCAACCACCAATCTGCTGAGTTTTGTCTGTTCATTTGTTTTATTCTTTAGATTTTGCATATAAGTGAAATCATATGGTATTTGTTTTTCTCTGCCTGACTTAATTCACTTAGCATAATACCCTCTGGTTTCATCCATGTTACTGCAAATGGCAAGATTTCATTCTTTTTTATGGCTGAGTAATATTCTGTTGTGTATATATACACCACATTTTCTTTACACATTAATCCAACATTGGACAGGTTGTTTTCATATCTTGGCTATTTTAAGTACTGTTGCAATGAACATAATGGTGCATATATCTGTTTGAATTAGTGTTTTCATTTTCTTCAGATAAATACCCAGAAATGGGATCATTTTTGAGGAACCTCCATACTGTTTTCAATAGTGGCTGCTCCAAGATAATATTCTTGATAATTAGGAAGTGTTTGTTGAAAAGGGGGCTTCCCCCTTTTCCCATGTTAAAGGATATACTAAAGAGAAATAATTGACAAGTTAAAGAAGTCTAATACTTTATTACTTTTATCAAACATTTAAACTGTAAATTTGGTATCTTTGCAAAACATAGAAGTTAAGAAATTACTTTAAAATCTATTCTAATTAGAGAGTTATGTTTTATAGGCAGCTTTATACACCAAGAAAAGTTCAATGAATGTGTAAGAAATGTGTGTATATAAAAAATTATAAATGGTAAACCACTTTTTAAAAAAAACACTGATTCATTCAGTTGACTAAATCCAAATAATATCAAGAAATATATCGCAGAATTATTTCTAAATGGATTTTTTCTTTGTTGTACACAGTACTAAGGGCAAAGCTGGCAGCTCCTAAGCTCTTGTTTGACCTGCTTTGTCAAATGCTTTGTGAACTGGTAGTCAGAATGGCACATTTGATGTCAACTTGCATTAATTTTTCCCCAAAGAGAGGTGTTCAATATTCAAACTGTGTTTCTACTGGCACAACCTACTTATGCTTCAGCTTCATTTTGGAAGGTTTACAAGTACTGCTTCCTTTGGAAGATTCTGTAATTTCTTTTCCAATTTCTCTTCTAAAACAACCTTTGAAAGGAGAATAATGATGCCCCATAAAATTGCTTTCAGGGAAATCATTAAAAAACTAATATTTCAGAGAATTGAATAAAATATATCAATATTAAATTTCACTATTTGCATCATAGATATGTGATGAAAATTTAGAACTACCCCTTATTCAACTAATATTTCCCAATAAATTAAATCCAACAGTATTACATTTGTATTTATATAAAACATAATTTATTAACTTGCTTTCAGCTAATAAGAATCATAGGCATATGTCCTAAAGCCATAGAACATCCTCTAATTCTGTTATAATGATGATTGTATACCAACAGCACCTAAATGGTTTCCTGATTGAGTTTCATAAACAGCAATATAGAGCAATAAAAACATTCATTTAAAATTTCTTGATTTGAAAGAATAAGTAAATCACTAATCCATTGTTCTTTCTTGCTTAGGAATTAAGAAAATGGTTTTATTAAGACTCTAAATCAAGATTTTAATGATATTGAAATGAATTCTTCATCTCCCCTATTCCTGCAGGAACCAATTATACTTTCGAGTACAGTCATAAATCAACCAAAATTCAATTGCCTTTCGGAAGGTCTTCTTCAAATTTTGTCCCTCCCACCTTTTTTCTGAAGCCGGTTTCTGGTTGGTTCCGTCAATACCAAGGGTTCTTGTATGACAGTTGCTGGGTAGTTTCTGCCTAATAGCTCAACTTCCATTTGTTGTCCTACTTTACTTAGCTCTACAGGGACATACGCGAAAGCCAGACTCTTCTGGATGCTGTAACTGTAGCTTCCAGATGTCGTGTTGCCGACTACCTGAGAGAGAAGACCAACAATCCTCAGCATCTTGGTCACAGTTTTGAGCTCCTTCTCTCCAGAAGAAAACACTTAAAATATAAGGTTCAACTTAAAATCTGAAAGTTTTACAATATGTTCTCTGTGGGGACAACACCAGGAAGAAAACCACTTTTTTCTTAGAAGATTAACAAAGGTTCACAAATTATGAAAAATAATTCTCAAAGTACACATCTATATTAACTTTGATATTTCTCACTTTTAAATAGTAACCTGGCTTCTTAATACCTGGCACTATTTTGCTCTGTTTCAGGCTAAGACATCTGATAGGAGGGAGACTAGAATATTTTCACTTTAAACTTAAAAACAATTCTCCTCTATCATCAAACTAGCATGGCAAATAAGGATAAAAGGTAGGAATACCTAAAAATCCAAATGCAAAATTAGTCAACGGTTCCTGTTGGAGTTTAGAAAATGGCCTGTCAAAATAGTGCAGAATTAAACTATTTATTAAGATATCAATAATCAATGTGAGGTAAACATTCTGTATGAATAGATAGCATTTAACAATTCCTGGCAATTGCTAGGCACTTACATAAATGTTAATTACACCTTCTCTAGCTCTAGCGGGTATAAAACATTTTGCTAGACATTCTAGAGAATAAGTAGAGGCCTCATGCCTACCCTCATGAGCTTCCAGCCTAGTTGAGGAATTAACAGAGATACAAAAATACATAACCAAGAAGCCACAGCAGTAAACATAAGTAAGCCAGGATTTTCTCTACATTTTGAAGGTGGGTGGAATTAGTTGGGTAAAAAAGGGGGATGAAACTTTCCAGGATGTTGGACCCATGGACTTCAGCAAGAACCACCAAAATTAGAGAGGACAAAATAGGATAACTTCAATGGCAAACCAGATTAAAATACTGAGTAAGGAATCAAGATTGAGGAGATAAAAACAAAAATATCTATGTAACAAGCCTGGCTAGAAAGTAAGAGGATTAGTGGAAACCAGATCTAAAGGTAAGGATGAAAGAGAAGGAAAAGCAGCGTAAAATGCAAAAAAATTATGATACAGAAATGTCAGGTTAAAATTCCACATTAAAAAAAGTAAAAGGAAGACAAAAGCAAAAGATGATATATAACTGCACGAATCCTTACAGCCTTGCTGACTAGCGCAGCAGGCTGCTCAGAGCTGTTACTCAGAAACATTCACGGGCATGATTCTGCCTGGTGATCTTTCAGCTATCTCAGCAAAGAGCCTGCCAACAGTCTTATTATAGCATGCCTAGTCTTAGGTGCTAACACATTTATGAATTAAACACAGACTCCTATGTCTTTAGCACCGGTTTGTAATTATCTCAGTGAAACCCCAAATCAGATATCATTTCTGAACTTAATATGGTGAGAACTGGTTAATTAAAATAAACAAAAACAAAAACACAAGAAAAACCAATACAAATGCTTTTCATTCATTTTCATTCAGCATTCGTAAAAGCTTCTCCTTGACAGATTATTAACCACCAAAGTACTGCTGAGATTAACACACATGCTTAAAATGGCTTTCCTACTGTAGATCATAATTAATTGATATACGGTAGGGATTTGGGTTAGGGAGGTTGGAATTTTAATCATTGACTTTTGAAATACTTTCTTGGTAACCTTGGTTTCCCTTCCCAGTCTGTAAAACAGACATCTGCTCTTGCAGCCCTGGGTAAGTTAACCTGACATGCGTGGGCATCTTAAGAAAAACAGGAAGAAGCCTGAGCAGGTCTCGGCCAAACTCCCAAACTCACTGGGTCAAAACCCTACAGTTAGTTCTCAGACTGCAGGCACCATTGCCCCAGGTCTTCCATCTCTCAAAACCCCAGGAGTGATTCATCCTACAGTTATTTACTCATTAGTAACGTAAACAAATAGCATATTTATTTTGTGAGTGCTGCATTAATAATATTTACTGAATGTTTCACTTTCTGCTAGATTACTTCATTTCTTCTTTAATTTCTAATACAGGGGTGAGTAGCCCAGAGTACTTTAGAAGTCTGGCCTTTCCTTTTATTTTATTACTAAATCTCCAGGAAAAGGTTTCCCCTACCATTAATTTTATACTGTTGTACCTTAAAATCTCCCAGTCAATTAAACTCATTCCTTCTTTTTGCTCAGTGAATTGCAAGAACGTGTCTCTATCCTCTGCCTAGTGGATTCTCATTCTCAAGTCCTTTGTTAAACATTGGCCTTCTTTTTATCAATGTAAGCAATCCTCATTTATTTTCAGCCTTTTCTCATTCCTCTTTTAAGTAGGAGGCTTGAGGAGGCCTCTACTGGCAGCAGAGAATATGGTAAATAGCCTTTGAGAGGAGGTAACGTAGTTTAAGTCAGATGATACATTGTGTTTCTTTGGCTGTTCCTGTGTGTTTTAGTTTATAAGTAATGAAACAGAAGATTTGCTAAAGTCTTCAAAGCCTCTTCTTTAAAACTTACTCCTCAGCAAAACTGCTTTTGTTAACTCGTGAAAGCACTTTTCATGACCACCCTTATTTTTAAAAATTAAACTTTATTTAAAATCATAATCCCTTCCTCCAGCAGTGCCCATCTCCCAGTAGGACTTCATTTTTCCCCAGGGTACAAATCACCCTTGGGCATGCCATTTATTTTATTTATTATGTTCATTTCTATCTCTCCCTCCTCAGGAATGTAGGCTCCATGGGGGTAGAGATTCTTGCCTGTTCTGTTCACTGCTGCATCCCTAGAACCTAGATTATCATCACCATATAGTAACCACTCAAATTTGTTGAGTAAATGAATAAATTTGTACCACCATCTCTAGCACTGAAAATATTTGCAAGAATAGGATAACAGATACCAAAGGCAGTATAAATCCATACAGTCAGGAAATAAAAGCAAAAAGCATTTCATGTCATTCCAGACTATAAAGAGGATCAAAGAGGGTCATCTGCATGATAAAATCCTAACTGTACTAAACATCAGAGAGCAGATACGCTGATACCAGAAAATTTAAAGAATATATTATTAATAAAGGAACCTATAATCAGATTAACAGCTCTGTAAACAGATGGCATATAGAGGAAAAATATAGCATGTAAACTCAGGACACAGATACAGCAAAAGAAATAAAATTCAGCAATGAAACTTGGGTGTCTAGGATCCCCCCTAACCCTGACCCTATTTTGATGTATAATTGACATACAACACTGTGTAAGTTTAAGGTAGGTTTCCAGGTTTTTTAACTTTAATTTGGGTATCATCATATTGAAGATGGCTAAAAATCTGTCAGTTCATCATGGCTGATGTGGGGTTGTATAAAAAATACTGTAACATAACCTCTCTATTCCATGGCCAAGTAAAACAGAAAGTCAGTGGAAGGGTGCGCATGGACTGCATTACAGAATAAGAAAGTTGGATGAGAATAGAGTGAAAAATGTAAAACGAAAGATGAGGGTAGGGAAATAGACTGTTTTTAAAAAATTACTAGAAGTAGAAAGAACCTTAGGCATTAAGTTATCCAGTGGCTTCATTTTATGGATGAGAAAACTGAGGCCCGGAGAGGCTAAGATCAGATCAAGTTGTTAGTTAACAATGGAGGTTGTTATCAGTGAAAATTGCGAGCAAATCTGAAGTTGAAAGAACTTATGAAGAAAAGAGAGCTGAACCAGAGATTCCGGGCAGAAGGAGGAAGGGGAGGCAGTGACATAGGAATGTGGGGTAGGAATGGCTCAGATAGAGCAAACTCAGCACGATTAAAAGGGAGGTGTTTAAGAGACAGCTTGACGAGTGACAAATCTGGGAAAAGTCTGTTGGCTTCAAAATGTCTAATAACATCCATGGGCTACTCAAACGTACAAGAACTGTGGGCATAATTAAGTGCTAAAGAATTCAGTAGGGCATCAGCCGAGACAGAAAAGAGCAGATTGGAGTACTCACCACAGCTTAGAAGAAAGGACCAGCATTGCAAAGTCCATCTATACCTGGGTCAGAAATCAGCTCCATCAGTCACTAGCTGTGTAACCTCAAGCAAATACTTCACCTCTCTGAGCCCTAAAACCTCAGCTTTAAAATAGGATGATCATACATATCTGGGAGGGAAGTTGTAAAATTAGATGACAAAGTACATGAAAAATACTCAGCACATAGCAGGAATTATGTAGATGTTAGTTCTAATCAAACTGACTAATGCCTCAGCTCAAATGGCCATTTCTTTGCTAATCCAAGGCTGAGATTTGAGGCCACTGGCTTTCTCCACCTCTAGGGCTCTTCTTGCTGCTGAAGAGGTAAGAGACATGGAAATAAATGATAATTGGTTGCTGCACATGAGAAAAAAAACACTGACACAGAATCTCCGAGTCTCTGGGTATTGACAAGCAGACCCTGTTCACTGCAGAACAGCTGTTTACATGAGCTTTGATGGCCCTGTGCCTGCCCCATGGTCTAAGCTGACCATCCTGCACCTGCCCAATAACACCAGCCAAAATGCAGCAAAATCCTGAAGCAAACTGAGTTTTACAAAGAGTCATAAAAAGTGGAAGAAATGAGTTAAATTGGGAAGTTACCTGGTTTTATTTAACATCAATAGAGACAATGAAAAATAACATTCCAAAGTGAGAAGAAGGTAATTTTACTCTTCTTGAAGAACCAAATAGTTTCTACTTTTCACTTTATTCTCTAAGGTTCTACCCTCTACTGTCATAAATGCTTTCATTTGGAAATTTTTTTCTGCTTATGTTCTAAGGTTAGAATGCCCTCTTTCTGAAATTCACCTGAGAAGTTAAATCAGAATGCTAAATTCCTTATTTGCAAGCCATTTCTTACATTCACCTATATGGATGTGGTGAGCAAATAGATCATTTTACCCTCCAAATCATACTTTCCTTACTGTGCAATGTATTTCCGGTCCTTGGGTTTATTTTCTTTAATCAAAGCATATAGCATTTTTCAAAAATAAGCATTTCATTTTCCTTTCAGTTGATCTCTGTTTCTTGAATATCAGCTCAGAAATAAAAATGTATCATCCCACCAATAGATAAATAAATATCAAAAAACTCTAAAAGGAAACAGAGAGAAGGAAAGTTTCTGCTGCAGAAGAGCCGCAGTGGCCCCAGGCCATGCGCCCCTCAGCACTCACCTTGCCCTCATACCAGATGCTTTCATTTCCCTCGGGATCCACATCATCCGTTGCCAAGGTGAGGCAGACCAGTCTCCGTTTCAGCCCCTCGGCTTTAATCTGTCTCAGTGCTTGCTTTCCTATGAAGTCGGCTGGCTGCAGGAATCCAAGATAATGATGATGAATGAATGCTCAGACACTGTGACAAGGTTAGAGATGCAAGCATTTAAATTTGCCTTTGCTATTTTTCTTGCCAATTACACATTGAATAAAAATACAGATTGGATCAAACGTCTAGACAAATATTTCTTAGTCCTCAAATGACAGTATCAGCCACCTATTTCTTCAGAATAGGTTTGACTTAAGGTAATAACTTGTGATAACAATTTTTCCAGAACCACCTAGGCAGAAAAACAAGGCATGGTATTGCGGTGGTGGATTATGAAAGTGACCCTTGTGTATAAGGCTCTGTAATGATTTTGGACAAAAGTGCTGGCTAGCAGTGAGCAACATACTACTCAGTTTCTACCCAGAGTAGTCTTTTACAAGGGAAATTCACTTATTTAAAATGTGATGTCAAACAACCTCAAAATGCTACATGCTTTTTTTCCTTTGTAGTAATAGTCCGGGGAAAGTATTAACCTATTGGGTTGTACTCATTAGTTCATTCAGGAAACATATTAAGCTCCTACTGTGTGGAAGGCATCAAGCTAGGCCCTGTGTGGGTTAGAAAATCAAGACACAGATATTTTGATCAAAGAGCTTATTCTCTTAACAGTGCGCTTTTCAATTTATTTTTCTCCTTCCATGCAACACATGACAGATGACATTCCTATGCCTAGTATGCTCCCCTGGGCACACTCAGGGTTATTCCCAACATAGTGCATGTGAGTGAGAGTGACAGGGTTACGGGGATAACCTTGAATCAATTCTTATGCATTAAAAAAAGTAGGAATCATGCGAACTTCAGGATGTTCACATTTATTAGTAACACACCTTACAATGAACAGGTGGGCAGTGACTCCTCAGTGGAGATACTTAGCTAATAAAGGAGAAAGAAACTCTACCCAACCAGAAAGCCAGGAACACTTGGTAAGTTTGAAAAACTAGTTAGAAACCAAGAGCAACAAGAGTTCAAAGGCGGGAAGGCTGACCCAGGCAGAAGGGCCTGGAAAGGCTTCCATGTTAAGTGTGCCCAGACAACCAGCTCCCATCTCATGGGGAAAGATGGGAATTTGTGATACACAAATCACATCTCTGTGAATGAGATTTGGTTAGAGATTACAATGTACAAAACAAACTTCTTGAAACAGTTCTCAGAAACAGACTGGCTAATCTTTGAAACAAAAGAAAGGAAACAACACCTTTAATATCTTCATTGGCCAAAGAAGAAAGGAAACATTTCACGACAAAAATGTCCTCTTCCACCAAAATCTAGGATTTATACAGCTTCTTCTGTGCACAAAACATTTAGGATTGGCTGTAATAAGTCTCTTCCACCTCTTGGTGAGGTGACACAAGGGGTCCTTACACACCCTCGGCCTGAGGACGTCCCTCCTCCCCAGTTCACTCCTTTACTGACTCAGAACTTCTGGGATAAGCCCACAATGAGGTAGGATTTCTATGAATGTTGCAACTCTAAACTGTTGACCTGCACAAGCAGCTAAAGAAAATTGCCATTGGCCAAGGTTATAATAATTGCAAAAAGAGATTTCAATTCCTTTCCCTTCCCCTGTAAGGTCCAGATGGTGAGAACTGACTATAAAGCTTTATTACAAAGCCAGATAAAAATTCAAAGACGACTGGACCCTATGCGACTTCAGACAGAACTACTGGGGCGAAACCAAACAACAAACCCACAGGATGAGCTTGATTCATTTGAATTCACATGTAGGATAAATTTCTGATACCAAAAGTCATAACAAACTGAAGTTCATCACCATTGAAACATGTATCTAACTACAGAAGAACTCTATGACAATTTTTTTTACTATCTTTTTAAAAGAACTTGCTCTCATGGATAAATGACAACGAGGGGTGCTCTGAAGATTTCTTGTCTATATAGAAGTCAGTAACTACAGTAGAAACAAGCCACACTTAATTGTGTGGAAAAGCACTTACAACAATACTGAGCAGCCAGTGCACTACACAGTGCGATTTGAGGAGTGACAGGAGATCCAAAATAGTTTCCTTATCGCCTGTAATGGAATCTGATCTTCACCATCAGCGATTTATTTAGATCTTGAAGGTTTTGGGTCTTCCTGAGTCCCTACTGAAGAATTTTCTTCCATATATTTACTCAACTGTTATGCCCTACTGTGTATCAGATCTGTGTTAGGCAGCGGGAATTCAGAGCTAATAGAAGGTGGTCTTATAGCTTCTGTGAGGCCCCCGAGGAGTTGTGACCACTTCTGTCCACATCACAACATCTCCAATATTGAAGTTTTCTCTCCTCAATGTTTTAACATATCAGAGGAAAAGAGCATAATTTGGGGTTACTCAAAATATGGTAGAACATGACACACAATAGCATACAAATCAGCCATACCAGCTTGAAATATGACTATGTTGTTTCCATGTGCTCCAGGAGAGTGTAAAAATCACAACATTTGGTAAATTTAAAGCGAAGAATGTCTAATGTGTGGAGGCAGAAGTGCAAACAGCTGCCATGGTAGGGGTACACACAGTCAGACTCAAGGAGTGCAATGGGTATTCTTCAGGGTGGCAGGATGGGGCTGGGACAGCATCTGTCAGGAATAATTTCATAGAGGAAGTAGCTCAAACTGAGCTGTGAAAGATGAGGTTCATAATGACTATTGTCTGCATAGCCTTTTCCAAAAGTCCTTGAACTTCCCTTATTATTTTATCTTTACAATAACCCACAGAAGATGGATTTGGGGTCTAAAAGAAATGAATTAACTTGGTTAATCAGCAAAGTGGGTAAGAACCAAGATCTCAGAAATCCCAGACCTGTTCTTTTCATCTACTTTGAGCTGCCTGCACAGAGCCACTTAAGCCAACCCCTGCCATACCTTTTGGGGGGCTGTGGTGAAAGCTGGCTACCATCAAAGCTTTCAGAAATGGGTCCTTTTTGGGGTGCTGGAAGAGAGTAATGGGGCAGGCAGTGGGGCTGGGGGTGGGCATAAGATGTGCTAGAAGGGAAGTCTAGCAATTCCTTTACAAAATTCACAACTTTACCAAAGTCGAAGCAGGAAGAAAAGGCATCAGCTAATCACAAGAAACCAGAAAAGGTGGGGTGTCCCCTTTAGAAGAGAATAACTAAAATGATATATTCAGCAAAAAATAAATAATATTAATAAATAATATTCACAATTAAGTATTTGGTATGTGCCAGATACTATGCTAAGTACTTTATATTCATTAACTCATTTTTAATCTTCATGGCATCCCTATGAGATAAATAATTTTACCTCCACTTTATAGGAGAGAAAGGCCCAACAATGCCAAGACTCTTTCCTGAGGCTCAGTTACATGGGTACATAAATCAGCACCTTTAGATTTTATCTATGTTTAAATGACTGTACCTATCATTGGTAGTATTTAGTAAATACTCTAAAGAATGTTTCTGTTAAGTTATTTCTAGGTAGCCTGAACCTATTTTGAATGACATCCATTATTTTACACAATAATATTTTTGTAATATGTGATAGGATTTTAAATGAAATCTGACATCTATATCTGTACATCCCTGGATTAGGAAGTTATTTTACCAACAGTATCATCCTCAGACATGAATGAAAATAGTACTCTAACAAACAACAAAACTTAAATAAAAGTAAGGAATACATACTTAAAAATCTGCCCCTCAGAGACACTTCTCCCCTCCCAAGCTAACCTATACCTGACTTGGGACAATTTAAAGTGGGACAGTGGTGTTTCATCCTCATTTTACTTGGTTTTCCTCCCAAGACTGTAGATTTTACTCTAGCATATAGCCATTACTTATAAATTAAAGAGGAAAATGTGTTTAAAGGTAAGTGCTGTGATTAAAATTGTTGCTATCGGGATGACCCGAGAGCAGAGATATATTTCTTTAATGAGTCACTGCAAAATTAACTTATAAATACCTGTTAACATCTTTGAGAAACATAAATTTCTAGAGCATTAAGACTATAGATTAAATATAGTCTTGACTTATGTTTTTCAATTTATTAACTTTATAAAGTAATAAAAGCCATTAAAATGACCACTTGTATTACATACTAAATATAACATCCACTTAGATGAAAAGATTAAGATTTTAAGTGAAATATAATTACTTGTCTCTTATTAGCTCTATTAAAAGCACACATATTAATTACAAAGAGCACATGGAAGTGAAATAAAATTAAGCCAGTGTGTTTTTTATCAGGATTCTTAGGGCAATGGAGGGCTCTCAGATGGGCAAAGTCAAATTTGAGAGCAGCAGTGGAGGGAAGGTTCTGATATGGAGACTCAGGGTAGTGGAGTCGCACAGACCAGGAGAGAAATGATTAACACCTAGTTTTGGACCATACATTTGGAGTCCATGTATTTGGAGCCAAAACCCATCCGAAAATTCAAAGAAGTCATCAACTGAATTTGATTTTTTGGCCAAAATCCTTGTAAACTAAATATCATATAAGGTTCCAAAGACATACGAGAATCGGTGTAACATCCTGGGTCCCAAGAAAGCCCCCCAACTTAGGTACCAGGCAGAGAACTGGTTGTGGAATCATGCTCCTGAGTTTCAGGCATGAAGAGAGTTGTGCAAACACTCACTGGTCACCAGTTACTGTCAGTGACAGACTGGGAATGAAAATTCAGGTGACAGACCTCTGCCATTGTCCTTCCATACTATCCTGAAAAGTTTCTCATTTAAAATGGGGCTCAGGGATGATCATTTAAAAACAGTCCTGATGAAAATCCCTTTGTAAAGCATGTGGCCATTACTAACCTACCGTCTATGTAAGCCTATGGAAATCTTAACTTTTTTGGTCATCGTTGAATACCAGGAGCCTTTCTCACAGTCAAACGGATAAAAGCCATATACTGGATTCAGTATTTGGAGGAACAAAGCAACTGATTCACCATCCCATCGAGCCAAATTATACCATTATTCATTTTATATTCACATAATCAGAATTATAGAAGTTTCTAAGCAGGCAGAGAACTTC